GGGTAACTCGGAAGGGGGGTTAAAAACAAGGGGGAATAAACAAACCCCGGGGGGAAGGGGAAAACCCCCAAGGGGTTAAGGGTTAACTCCGGAAGGAAAAAGGGGGGTTAACCCCCAAAAGAGAAAATTTCAACCCCAAAAAACCCAAAATCCTTTGGGATGGGAATAGGGATGCAAGGGCTTCCCTTTGGTGAAACGGGCCTTTAACCCCATGAAAGAAAAAAAAATTTCCCTTTCCAAAAGGGGCAAGGGAAACCCAAATTTATTTTTCCTTTAGGCAATTCCAAAAATTCCTTAAAGAATTTGATGTTGTTTTACTTAGATTTTAGTAAGGCTTTTGATAGAGTTCCGCACCATAGACTGTTAAAGAAAGTGGCAGCTCATGGCATTGGGGGAAAAGTGCTCTCGTGGATCGAGTCATGGCTCACTGACAGGAAGCAGAGAGTGTCCATGAATGGGGTTAAATCCGAGTGGGGATCTGTAACAAGTGGCGTTCCACAGGGATCAGTCTTGGGCCCGTTGTTGTTTATAATATATATCAATGATCTTGATGAGGGAATTACTAGTGATATGAGCAAATTCGCCGATGACACAAAGATAGGTAGGATAATTGATTCAAACGTAGATGTTAGGGAACTTCAGGAGGATTTAAACAAACTCTATTCTTGGTCAGAAAAGTGGCAGATGCAGTTCAATGTAGATAAATGCAAGGTTCTGAAGCTTGGGAGTGCCCATAACCCTAGTACTTATAAGTTAAATGATGTAGAACTTAGCCATACAGATTGCGAAAAGGACTTGGGGGTTATGGTGAGCAGCAACCTTAAACCAAGACAGCAATGCCTAAGCGTACATAATAAGGCAAATAGATTACTGGGATTTATATCAAGAAGTGTAAGCAACAGAAGTCCAGAGGTCATACTGCAGCTTTATACATCATTAGTAAGGCCTCACCTAGATTATGCAGCTCAGTTCTGGTCTCCGTATTACAAAATGGACATAAATTCGTTAGAAAACATTCATCGTAGGATGACTAAATTAATACATAGCATTAGAAATCTTCCTTATGAAGAAAGATTGAAGACTCTTAAGTTACATTCACTTGTTAGACGAAGAATGAGGGGAGACCTGATCGAAGTGTATAAGTGGAAGATAGGTATTAATAAAGGGGATATTAATAAGGTCTTGAGGATGTCTCTCCAAGAGAGATCCCGCAGTAATGGATTTAAATTAGATAAGTTTAGATTTAGAAAGGACATAGGAAAGTATTGGTTTGGAAATAGGGTAGTTGATGAGTGGAACAGTCTACCTAGTTGGGTTATTGAGGCTGGGACTTTGGGTAGTTTCAAATCTAGGTTGGATAAGTACATGAGTGGGAGGGGTTGGATTTGAGTTGGACTTTCACATCAGAGCTTATTTCTTGGGTGGCATTGAAAATTGGGTTGGGCAAATGTTTTGTTAGTGGGATGAATTGTAAAGGACCTGCCTAGTATGGGCCAGGAGGCCTCCTGCAGTGTTCCTCCTTTCTTATGTTCTTATGTTCATTTACGTACATGGAACTGGGGTTATGCAATATGGGAATCTGCAGCGACTGCAGTATTTCTAGTTACAATTGTTACTGCTAATATTAATACTAAAACAAATTCTAAAATTTTCCAAAATTAATATAAAGATACAAAAGTCGAATATCAAGTGCTCGAAAAAAAGTGCCTACCATCTTTCGATTGAAGAATGTGTGAGATTCTTCGAAAATATATTGGATACAGGCACTAGAGGGCTGACTAAATATACTCCTCACGTTAATGGTGGCTGTCGCGAAATATTTGACAGGGAAAACGCAGATAACTAATTTTATTAATCATTGTCCTTGTATTTTTTAACTCTCACGCAGTCACTGTTCGGCAAAAAAAAAAAAAAAAAAAAAAAAAAATGAGTCGCTTTGACCCTAAGTAGTTTGTGGTGTTATGGAAGTATTGTTAAAGTTATACCTGTGAGTACTCGCCATTTTCTATAAAAGTAAAAATGATCTCCGTGCTTTGTAATATTCCTTATTTGATTTTCTACTCTAACAGAATTTGTAGCTCTCTGTTATTTCTTTTTTGTTTTGTTTTATTGCATTCTGCTGTAGCCTTACAGTTCATGTTAAAACGGATATGATTTGTATATAATGCTGATCCGCGAAGAAAATTTAGTAAAACTATTACAATTGAATAATTATTATTATCATTATTCTCGCTAAACCCATTAACCAGTCACAGTTTTGTGGTCCAAGTCGGACCGAAACGTCGTCATACATTTCAGTCTCCTATATGCGGGTTAGTAGTGTATTTTTCCTTGAGTTAGCATATCTAAATTTGCCAGGATTTACGTATATTTAACCCTCAGCAACGAAACAATGTAAATCGTTGACTCGCTTCTTACAAAGTTCCCACGAGCATTGATATTTCACGCTCTCTAAGTTGACAGCTATGCTGGGTCACTAACATCTAGGGCAGCTCTTAGTCTCTCAAATGTCTTCTTTGGGAGAACAAGAAAGTATAGTATTGATGTTTTATCTCTGCTCTTTCAGGTTCGTAACATCATGATGACTTAAGTATATTTGTAATTCTTGGGTATTTTTATTCAGATGCACTTGGTCTGCATAGCTTGCTTTATCAATCTAATGCAAAGTCATGAGAAGTGAGAAGAGATGAGATGTAATAATTAAAGACATGGTCAAGTGTTGATGGGGCATACTATTGGCAGTTGATCAGGCATAAAAAACGGTTTGAAGATACTGTAGATGTGGAGAGGTGCAGCAGTTGATGATGTTTTTATATGTGGGCAGGGCCCACTAGCGAAAGTAGGTCATTCTCCTAAAGTGTGTCAGAGATTTAACATTGGAGCTGAGGATAGTCTCTTTACCAAGATTCCATACTGTTCCTGTATTAGACAAGTTCCCTTAGATCAAAGGCATAATAACAACATGTTGACAACTAAGACAAATGTGAAATAATTGGGAATCTTGAATGAGAAACGTTTCGTCTGTAGAGCAGGTTTTATGAATTTGATACAGAGGCATGAAGACGAAATCTCTATCTGGAAGTTTATATCAGGCGTATTTTACAAGCCTTTCATACTTCCACTACATAACCTTGTCCATATATGACTATGTATTCAAGTGTGTTATTTCTCCACTTCTACCACTGGTTCATGTGTTTGAATGTTTGCATTAGATTCTTAAAGCATACAGTACAGGCATTAACTTGTAAGTATTATACCTTTGATCCAAGAATGAGTTTATAACCTAACTGTAGTAGGTATTTTGTTTGTGTATACGCTCCACTTCCCCAGTAGGTTTTTCATATTTCCCATCAAGGTCTTCACACCAGAATCTGAAATCGTGCCCCTATCCTAGGTGTGCTTTGTACTGCTTTCTGATTGTGATTAATAGCGCTTTTTTCTTGCTTTTGTATTCTTTGGCTTTCCATTTGTGTGGCAGTGAACTGAGTAATACAGTGCAGTGACTAATTTAGGTTATTCGGGCAAGTGTGGAGCAGTTGTATAGTACGTGAATCAGTTCTAACTCTGAATTTTCATTTAATAATAACTTATTTTTTTAAGCAGTATGGTCACTAGGAATTCCCTGTCTCTTCACTCTTTACCAAGTAATGTTTGTTCAGTAGAAAAAAAGTATTAGTTATTATTACGGTAATGCGGCCTTCGAGGCCGCATGAGTGGTGACGAAACACTACGTGATAACCATTCCCAAGTCCATGGTCATAACGAGAACAGAGAAGGCAGTTATAACTGGACTCATAGTAATAACTGGAGTCGTAACCTACTACACCATACTACAGGAGGGTTTAGCCTCCAGCTTTTACTCTGCCGCCATAAAGGCAACCTGCAGTACAATAATTACAACCAGTAGTAAAACGATTTGAGAGATAAAATTACAGATCCAGTAAATTGTCTTTATTATTTATTCTCGCTAGTACCTGCTTTTGTTATGGTGTGGGTGTGTGTTTATGCGTTATGTCCTCAATTGCTTTATCCCTGAGCTAGCTGACCTTTATGATACAATTGACATATTTTTATCCTGCCGTCTGGCTGTGTATACTAACTGCTGCGCGTTAATAGTTCATTAGTAAGTTGAGATGCTGCTGGTGCTCCGTCAACGAAGACCGCAGTAGGATTATCTTGGAGGGAAGGTTTTGAGATTAGGGAACGTAATAATTGAATAAAGGTAATGTGAAAGGAGTTGTATGGATGTGGAGTGGTTATGGCAGGAATGAGGATGAGGTTTTTTCTAGTTTGGGAAGGAGTAAAAGTGTGAGGCTCTGAGTAGAATTTTGACGGTGTAGCTATGTTTTATAGGAACGACAGCAGGGAGGAGAAAAGAGTTCTTGTAGGTGATATGAAATTTTCCAAGTTCAAAGGAAAATGTTGGTAATAAAGTGGACTGGGACCAGAAGGTTTGGCGAAGTGGGGTTGGCGGAGGGGTGGGACTGTTGGATGACGAATGGGAAAGAAAGGGATAGGGCAGTACGTGTGGGAGTGGCTTGTTGAGTCTCCCTTAGTCTCGTGATATGCCTACGAGGATCTTAGACTGGCAGCTGACAGTGTTTGTTTCCTACAAGAAGTCTTCCTCTTACCGGTCTGTTAACTACTTTAAAGTCTTTTTCCTATCATTGCTGTATAGCCCTTGTGGCTTAGCGCTTCTTTTTTTATTATAATAATAATAATAATTTTTCCTATCATTGCAACTTAGTATTATAAGCTCTCTCTCTGTCTCTTCACGTGTCAGATCTCGAAGTAAGTTCACCTCCGTGATGTTCAACACCTTTGAGCATTTCCTTGAGTCAAAACAAATTCTGTTTTTGGTGTGTGTGTGTGTGTGTGTGTGTGTGTGTGAGCATACTTGTGTACATGCGTACTCGTTTATACACTATGGACTTTGTGTCTTTTGAAATATTTAATCCTTTACAGTTTTCACTATTCACAAATGACAAACATATTTCAGACTGAGAAGAGTTTTATTATTTCTAATATGACTTTGTCTCCCAAAAGAATTACAAAGGAGAGAAATATCTATTACTTTATAATGAAAATTTAAACCAAAATGTAATTAATGGTAACCGTATGAGGGGTAGACCAGGCCGCTCCTGTGCTGGTAGGAATGACCGTATCCAGGGTGCTTGACGCTTGTAGAGTAGCCGAAGGCGGCTCCGTGGCCGTAGGCAGGTCCGTAGCTATATCCAGGGTAACCGTAGAAGTAGCCGGGATCAGCCTCTCTCTTCCCAATTCCGTGGGAACGGACGTAGGAATACCCGTGGTAAGGGTGGCGAGCGATACCGGGTCCGTACCCATACCCAAGCCCGAAGCCGTAAGGGTAGGTAGGCTCAGCCTCACGCTTGTGCAGGATATGGTTATAAGAGTGAACCGATGACTTGAGACCGTACGGGTGGTGAGAGATGACCCCATAGCCGTACCCAAGTCCACGGCCGTAGCCATAGCTGGGGCCGTAGCTATAACTGGAGCCGTAGCCGTAACCTGGGCCATAGCCTGCCACGCCATAGGTGGGCTCAGCTTCGCGCTTCTGCTCTGCTGCCACGAAGGCAACCAACAGTACAACGATCTGGAAGATACAATGTAACAAAGTGAATCAAAACATAATCTGTTGTCCTTTTGTTTTTCTTTCACTAGTGCCTAATGATATTCAATAATTAAAAAAAAAAAATTCGTCCACAGAAGAATAATATAAATAAATAAATATATACAATGTATATATATATATATATATATATATATATATATATATATATAATTATATATATATATATATATATATATATATATATATATATATATTTATATAGTACCATTGTATACATGTTTGTGTTTCCTGTAAATGTATTCTGTCTATTAATAAATTTTCCCATAGAATATAAAATATAGGGGGTGGTAGGAGAAGAAAATATTCAAACAGCTCCGGGGAGAACCTTGAGTTTTCCCTGAGGTACGTTTATTGTCTTGTCTGAGGATGAGGGTCCCCTAGTCCAGCTATAGAGGTGGTACCTCCCTATATATATATATATATTATATATATATATATATATATATATATATATATATATATATATATATATATATATATATATATGTATATATATATACAATAAGATCACAGTAAACAGGTGATTTTCAGAATATGCAAAACAACCACTGTGAAAGGATAGAGAAATTCCAATTCTCTATTCTTTCACAGTGGTTGTTTTGCATATATATATATATATATATATATATATATATATATAATATATATATATATATATATATATATATATTATATATATATATATATATATATATATATATATATATATAATATACATATATCGGTTCATGACGAACCGAAATGTAGTTCCCGTTACCGATTTGTGGATTGTTTGGGATTCTCTTTCTACTTAACCTACAAAAGAAAGCAAGTGCTTATAGGCAATAACACAAAAATAATTTTGAAGAGACTATGCGCAACAAGCTTTTATCAGAACAAGTAGTTTATCAAGCCATGACTTAAGAAAACTCTGAAAAAGCGACAAGCTATCCATATAAAAGCTTGTTCAGCATTGCGAATCTTTACTTCAGTAAGACGACATTCCTAAAAGTATTTTTGTTGACATGCTCACCAGAGTCCTCATGGTTGGGTGTGCAGGGGAGCGACTGTGATCCTCTCCGTCTCTTTTCAGTTTATATACTGACAAAGGTAGTGCCACACCCTCCCACGCTATCACCGTGGAAACAGTCACTGACCTTGCTGTCACCGTGAAACTCTGCAGTCGTCCTGGACAAGGCTATTGCAAAAATGTTCCCTATTCAACTCATATAAACAGACACAATACATGTTACTCACGACTAATTGATCTTCTGGAATTATATATATTTTCTTTATGGTACATCTATGAAAAATTGCATATCTATCAGGAAAGAAATGCTGTGTGCTTTAAAAGTGAGAGGTGTGCTAGTTTTAATACCCAAAAGATAAATATATATAAATATAAATTTCCTTCCTCCATTTAGATGAAGTGTATCCTGTATCTAATGACACCAGAATGTGATAGTTAATGATTGCGGAAAAGTATAAATAAAGTTATAAATAACTGGTCAAGATGTCATCCTAAGCTTCGCTTAATTATTCAGTTAACACTCATTCCATGGGCGGTAGTCTAAATAATAGTCCTGGTTCTGGGCCTCACGTTTCGCTGGTTGGGAAGTTTTCATTAGCAATAAACTGTTTACAAGAAAAGCAGATTAACTTAAAATAGTAATGAGTTGCTTACACAATAAACTGAGAAACATGAACATACATATTCAATATGTTGGGAATGCCGTTTATTGGTTCACTTCCTCTGTAGCTACAAACAAGGATTTTGTAGTTACTTAGTTGATCCGGTTGCTCTGTTGATTTAGAAAGTTACCCTTGTTAAGGTATTTACAAAGGAAAAAAATGTTTTTCGTCCTCGTGAATGAAGTATAGGAATTTCTTGATTTTTTAGTGAGTTATCCTTAAATTCTTCGATTCATTCTCATTCTTGCGCATAAAAACGTAATTTTCGAGAATAAATCTGCTGACAATATTCACTTCAAGGTTTACATCAGCTGATGACACTGAGAGGTGTACTTTTCTCAGCGGATATATGCTGATAGCTTATTTTAATCCCTGTTGTAGGGATTTAAGTATTCTTGTCTCCTGGTGAAAAGATTATTGTTGCTGCGCGAGCCGTGGAATGTATCCCCGTATTCCATAACCCAAGTCCTTCGTGCATCAATGTATGTGATTGGAATAGTGCAGAGTGCGACTTAAGTTGATAATGCATGCCTAGGCATGCTCGTGGCCTTCTTTGTAATTATTAGTTTATAACATGTAAACCACACATTGTAAGCTTTGCAAGGAAATAAACATTTTCATTTTCATTTCATTTTCATTTCATTTTTATTTCATTTTTATTTCATTTTCAATCAGAAGAGGCATTCACAAGTCAACATAAGAAAAGTAATATCCAAATTTCTTAAATAAAAATTTTAAATTAGGGCTTATACAACCCAAATACAATTCTTAATCTTTCAAAGAGACCAATATCGTATAATACACAAGCATATTAATTAACTAGGTTATGCAAAACAAAAATTTTGGCATGAAAGCGGTATTAAAATATTTTCAATTTTTTCCAGAAAAAGTGATTTGAGACCCACTCAGGCTAAAATGAAGTCAAACCAGCTTTTAAGAAACAAAGTAAGCTTCATGTAGGCCTAGTTTACATACTATAGAATTGTTTAAGAATGATCTTTAGGCACATATGTTATAGAATCATAAAACAACATTAAATTGATTTAACCTAAGTTACCCAAATAAAGTCAAATACTGTAACTTAATTCTAATCAGAAGAGATATTCTCCAATTATTTCATAGATACCAGTTTGATTAATAAAATTATAAAGCAATAAGTTACACAGCCTGGCATCAAGAGATTGTTTACTTGAGGAAAACACATCAACACTAAAAGTTTAAAATTATTGAATTTTCCAGTTACTGCACAGATTGAAACGACGTTTGTGGCTTTACAGCCTAAACCCACGAAACTATCCACCCATTTCATACAATGCATCAGCCACAGAAGACTAATGCCGTTCACAATTGTTTTATTTTAACCAGAGGCAAGTGCTAATTCGGTAGGGATCATGTAGCGCCTGTGGAATGGAAGACATGAAGATTCGAGTCAAGTAAGGCGGGGGGGGGGGGGTTAAGAACGAAACTCTAGTTTGTAGTTAAAGAGACCCTCACCAGCATCAAGAGAAAAATTAATATAAAATAATTCGGTACTATTTCAAGATTAAAATTAGAAAAATGGCATCCAGACACTCCATTATATAAATCAACCTCCTTTTAAGTAGGATACACAGTTCTGATGTTTTGAAGCCGATCGCAGGTGTCTGTCTCCACCTATCACACGGAAACAAAAAATCAGTGAATAGTCAATGTAACATTGTGTGTAGAGCACCACACACGCAAATACATAGTCCCATGAACACTACATGCCCACTACATATAACATAAGTATTGAAAATTTGAAGCCTATCGATTAAGGCGTTCTCGAATAAAAAACGAAAATTTGAGAGAAAGTAAGCAAAAATGTTGTTGAGAATGTTACAAAAATTATAGAAATCTACATTATTTAAATCTAAAAACGCCATAAATTAGCAGATTTTTATGCTTTTTTGCATTTTTCTCATTTACGCTCTATTTAAAATTTTCTACAATCGTGTAAAAGGAAATATTTATTTTAATATTTATAAAAAACTCAATTTGATAAAATTGTGGAAAATGGCTAACTGGCACCTAAACAGCTCAGAATTAAAAAAAAAAAGATGCCCCTTATTAAGGTACACCGCCATTTAGGGTTTGAAACTGATCTGAAGAGGCATTGACTGGTTATTACATAGTAAACAATTTGTTTAATATTACTGGTAAATTAAAATCTACATAGTTCAGAATGACAAGCAGTTTCAATAAATCCCACCTATTGTTAAAAGTTCAGACCGATGGGAAACGTCATCCTTCCAAGTTTTTTAAACATTTAAGTAAAATTTTAAATTTGCACCTACCCGAACTAATCGTATGGGTAATTTCGAAGTCAGCCTAAAGAGGCATTTGTCAGTTATTGAATAATACGATAAATTTCACTTTTTATTAAAAAAAAAAAAAGCTGGTAAGTTAAGACTTACGCTGCCCAATGGCTGGAAGAGCCGAGTCTTCAGGAAACAACACCAGTAGTGAAAATTGGAAACCGATGAGATGAGTTATTCTTCAGTTATTGCAATGACTACAACGATTCCACTTTTTTTTTTATTTAGGTACATCTAGAAATTTGTTTGCATGTAAACGAAAGTTAATAGGTACTATCCTGGCCCTAAAATGCATCAGCCGATAAATATTAAAGTTGTTTTGAGAAGGTTAACTGGAATTTATTTAACGTGATTTAACATGAGTAAAAATTTTACTCTTTTTACTCCTAAGAAAGTGAAATCTGCGTCGTATTTTTTGGCATCTTTTATGAATGTTTGAAGCAACGCCACTAAGAATTTTGGACGTTATTATAGACACTCAAGGATGCAGGGAAACGGCTCAACAACTTTTGTCACAGGGCACGTGAGTATACCAGTTACTCCACGAATTTGCTCCTCGTTACTGTAAACAAGTGATGAAAACTTGAAGTGGATTGAAAGAGAGGTTCGGGAAAAATAAGAGGAATAAAATCGAAAAGTCGGAGGAAGAAAAAAAAAAGAGCATAAAAGTCCAGCAAGCTCTTAAGGGTACCCATTGAGGAATACCTAACTTGTGATGTAGTTCAACTGGGCTTGTGCAGGTCGCTAAGGGAGACCTAATGTAACCAATTATATGGTCACACCTTGCCTTGGCAAATGTCTGTCAGTCATGCCTTTCGGCTTAAGTCTGAGGTCTTTTGTTCTTGACAGCGTCAGATCTCGGCGTCAGGTCAAAATACTTGGTGCACACCTCATTGTGGGTGGGTGCTTGAAAAACAATATAAGCCCAAGGAACAACTGAGGAAGGGGACTCGGGCGGAGCTCTGGCCTGGGTGCAGAGCTCTTCGAGAGGAGCTGCTGCTGGTGCGCAGGGCTCGGGAGAAGGCTGCTGGAGTCTCTGGAGGAGACTGTTGGAGACATTGGGCTTGGAACAGTACTCGGCTGTGTAGGTCTTGGGACCTGTGCCTGAGTTCCTGTGGTGAACTATCCTCTGAACTATATTGTAAGTTATATTCTGTTTCGTCAATTAATTGTATTCCCTGTCTCACTGCTTATGTGTACCGTCCCAATTTATCTAAACCCCAATAATGTTCTACTGTTCTCAAATATATTATTGTACAAGGACTTAATAATAAACTGTGTTTGAGTGGAATAGTAATATTCACTGTCCCCGTTATGTATTTCTATTTCTTATACTTTATTTTGTTTATGTAAGTTGGAGTAAGTGAAGAGTAGGCGAGTCATAAGGTAGTGAGTAGTGTAGAGTTAATGAGAGTGTCATGGTGGTCACCACTGACCTGTCATACCTACCTATCTCTCGCCCACCTCTCCTGCAAACTCCCTCACCCCACTTCCATATTCCCTAATTACCACTACATTCCAATAACCCCCTACACGACAAACTAGTGTAGTCGATAGGCTTTAAACCCCCATTAACTAAGCAACCAATGGTGCAGCAAATTCTCAGAGGAGCTCTTAGTACGAGGTAGGAAAACAAACTATGGCACTAGGCTAGTCATGTAGGTTAGGTAGGGTTCTTCATGAAAGAGGACAGGTGTTTCCTGACGCGGTCTTAGTCATTTGATGATCAACCATTGGAGCTTCTGGTCATCTGACCGAGGCCTTCCGCTGGCTTGCCGGTCCACCCCCTTTAAAAATTATGGTCAGTTATAACCATTTAGCTTTTTTTTTTCATATAGTTGGGATAGATCACCACTATGCTAATAAATTTTTATTTGCATGACATGTAACGCAGTTACGCTAATTAAAATTTATATAACAGGATCCATAAAATAGCAAAACGATAACAAAATTTCGTAAATAAACCGTTTTTAATTAAAAACTTTTTATCTTACTATTTTATCATAAAATTTCGAATGCTGATACATTTGTAATAAAGTATCTTGTTCAATATAATATGTTAATTCTGTGTGTACTCACCTAATTGTACTCACCTA